AGGAATTGATGGAGTGGAAGGTAGGGGATAAGGACCAATTGTGTGGTGGCCTTATGTCTCCCTGTGTCTCACCCGTGATAGATCAAAATTTCTCTAGGGTCTGCATTTGCCATTCAAGAGTGAGCTCCAAAAGCAGGAAAGTGCGAGCTCAGCTCTGGCCTCCAGCACTTGTCATAGGTAGGACAGGAAGCCATGCAGGTAATAACACTGCTAACAGCAATGACGATTTCTAGGCATCGGGGCTGGCCACCTTCCAAGTTCAATGCTCTGCACTTTCCGCAGTTCTGCCATGACATCCCCAACCAATACCCGCTCTGGTGGTTTGAATGAGAATGGCCCCCATAGGCTCATATATTTGAATGCTTTGTTACCAATTGGTAGAACTGTTTGGGAAGGCTTAGGGGATGTGGCCTTGTTGGAGGGAGGTGTATTACTGGCTGGGCTTTGAGGTTTCAAAAGTCCATGCCATTCACAGTTCTCTCTCTGCCTTGTGCATGTGGGTCAAGATGTGAGCTCTCAGCTACTGTCTGCCTGCCTGCTACCATGCTCCCTGCCATGATGGTCATGGATTCTAACCCTCTACAACTGTGAGCCCCCAATTAAATGCTTTGTTTTATAAGTTGCATTGATTATGATGTTTTGTCGCAGCATTAGAAACCTAACAGAGACTCTCGTTGAGGCACACTGCACCCATCACCTACCACCCCATTTCCCAGAGCAGGAAGCTATGACACACTGGCAGTCTCCCAGTTATCTGAGGCTTATCTCAAGGGCTTATCTCAACATTATGTGCATCATGTTGGATACTGGGAGTTACCCCTCACTCACTTGGTCTGCCTCCTCTCTCTGACCTGTTCCTGTTCGTTCAGCTATCACGGAGTCAGCTCTCCCAGGCTGCAATGCCATTTTGCTCCTCTGTGCCTTGCTCCTCTCTTCCCTCGGCCTCAGTCCCTTTCCCTGCCTTTATCCAGTGGAACATGCCCTATGCCTCACCTTCTGCAGGGGACTGACCACAAAGAGGCACCCTCTCTGGAGGAACTGCTTCTTCTTTCTCCTTGTGCCCCTGACTGTAATGTTCGCACAACTGCATTTGCACATCTCTGTTCCCTCAGGCCTGAGCACTAAGGGCGAGGAGGTCTTTCTTTATCTGTCCCCCTAGGCTTCCCTCAGAACCCCCAAGGCTACATTCACACTCCTAAACATTTGCTGAGGGAGTGTCTCCCTTCCATTCTACCTCGTATTAATGAACCAGGTAACTTTGGGTGGCAGCTGGGACATTTCTGGTTTCTATTCTGACACATTTTACAGAGACTTCTTCTGTACAATAGTGAACCCCATATGCTCTTTCAGTGAATGAAAATTCAGTTCTGGGCAAATATTTCTTCTAAAGAAATCCGTGTGTTGCCTTCTAGGACCTTACTTATCAGCTTGCTCTGAAAGCTGTGCTTGGAGCATTCTGGAAAATTGTTATCAGGCTTTGGAAGCAAACAGCTCAAATGAGTGAAATCAACAAACCATACCTTGGCATTGGGAGTTCAGAATTTTGGGAACCATGGGGTGAACTATAATAAGAACTCCCCCCACACACACAATCCTGAAATGCATGGCTGCCATTGCTCACTCCATAGCTCCCGAAAATACAGCCATTTGTAGATCATCTTCCAAAGCCCATGAACTTCTCTCCTGAACATTTGCTCATTAATTCAGGCCCAAGGCTCCTCTAATTAGGACACTAGAAGCCCTGAATCTTATATACAACTGTGACAATACATTGACTCCTGTCTGAGAAAGAGCAGCTTTTTAGGATGACTCCAAAAAAGTGTCCCAAAGCCCCTTGCTATAGAGAAAGGAACATGGATTTCAGATCCAAAAGGCCTCAAATCCCAACTCCCACTTTAAGTAGCTATGTGAGCACCTCCCCCCCCCCCACCACCACCATGGTCCCCAAAGCTCTGAACTCCAAATGCCAAGGAAATGCCAAGCAATATTGTCCTGAAAGGCAATACACACAGGAAGGCCACTGGGCTTCTCTGGACCTCAGCCTTCTTGAATGTAAAATGAGAGAAGGCTGTAAAAACTGCCAATGGATACTCTGAGGATGAAGTGTAATAGCGATGCACACACAGTAGGGCCACAGTCATAGTGGATGAAGGTGGGGCTGCTGGGGAGTGGCCAGATGGTTCTCCACAGCTCCCCCTCCCTGAGGGAAGAGCCAGGACCCAGTTTCCTCACTTAAGGGAGGCCGGGACAAGAGGCAAAGTGGAGCTTGAGGAAGCCATCTGTTTTTGCCAGTATTTATTGACAATCCTTATTTAAGCATAATATTAATAATGACTCAACTTTTGGGTTCTGAGAAGAAAGTTGCATAGATTTTTTTTATTCGATTGCCCAGCCTAGGAGAGCTTTGAACACAAAATGCCCCAGCTTCTGCCTTCTGACTACTGAGATTCCAGGGGTAAGCTGTCAGGCTTGCCCTAGATTCTGAATGTCTACACATGTGTACACTAGAGCTGACAACAAATAGTGCCATTAGAAACCCTGAGTATATTTACTCCACAGCTAGTTGTCTCCACGTTTCCCTCGGTCACATGCTGGGAACACCATACCAACTGTGATGAGACCACCATGTGGTGATTTCTGTAGAGACAACTGTAGAAGCAGGGAGAAGCCCAAAAGCAGGGAGTGAGGGGCCCAGATAGGCAATGCACAAGCCCCGATGTCCAGTGCCTGACTGAGAACAGAGGAGGCTGGTTGCAATTTGTCAGCTTCGGTATGACAGAGACAAAGGACATGGAAGCTCCCTTCTAGGAAAATGCCCTAAGGAGAACTATTAATCACTTCTCCTTTTGATAAGATACCTGACCTGACAGATACTGCCTAGAAAGTCAGGGTTGGGTTTAGCCACATCTTTGTGGGAAAGGCGTGGCTGTATCTCTGTGGCAAAAGCTGCTGCATCTATGGCAGAAGGAGGGTGGCACAACATTCTGGCATCTCTGTGCATAAGCAATTGGAAGCTACCTGGGCTGTGACTGTCAGTGCCTACTCCTGAGGCAACCCACTCCTCCAGCTGGGCCCCAACTTCCCAGGGTTCCAAAGCCTCTCAAAACAGGGCTACTAGCTGGGATTCGACTGTTTTAGCACAGTGGAGAACAGTTCACATTCACCCTGTAAGAGCAAAGGGAGAAACACAATGGAGCAGGACAGAGACAAAAGAAGGACAAGGTAAAGATGATGAAGCATTATGCTTGCCTGTCTCCCTTCCTTCCCCGACTTCTTTTTTCTCATTTTCCTTCTCTTTGTATGGGGCTCAAACCCAGATCCTCAAGCATAATAAGCACGTGCTCTGCCACTAAGCTACCTCCAGCCCCATCATAGTTTCTAGCTCAGCCTCCACAAAAAGGCAAAGCAAGTCTGATGTGAGGGAAGGAGGGAAGTTCTCTGGAGTCATGCCATCTCCTAATAGTTCAAGAGAACATGTTTCACTTAAAAGAGAGTAACAAGAAAGTATAAAGTCTTCTTTTTTAAAAAGACATTATAAATAAAGGCAGAATGAGTAAACTGAGGCTCTTACCATAAAGGCACACAGAAAGACCTGCCAATGAAAACTGGAACCTGCAAGAGTGGCTGAGAGAGTTTGTGGCAGGCCTGGCCATCTCATTAACATTCCACAGTAAATCTGGCGTCCTACTACCATCCCATGCAGCCCTCTTCACAGGGTTGGTCATGTAACTTGCTTTGCCCAATGGGATCTTAGGAAACGAGAAGCAAGCATGCTCAGCATGTAGAGACTCCTGTGCCATCTTGCAACCAGGTGGTACAGCAAGCCACCCCCTTGATCACTTGAGGTTTGGAGGCCACAAAGGGAGGGCTGTCATCTTTATCCTGGTGACTCCCTTGGCTGAACGAGAGCCCTGACAAACTGGCAGAGGTCTTCCCCAGGCTGCCAACAGAGCTGTGGGGAACCATGCATAGCTACTGCTGTAAGGGAAAGTTCTGAGGTAGTTCATATGGCAGCATCTGAGGGCTAATGCCAACATTCAGCCTTAACAACTGTAGATGTCATTAAGCAGGTCAAACAAGTCTCAAAAGAACAACACAAATGGCAATAAAAATACCCCCCCAAAACCAGGTAAGAGAAGGTAAAGGAAAGTAGAAATGAAGAGAGGAAGATTTCAGTCACAAAGCCCACACCAGAAGGCACAAAAAAACAATAAACTGCAGGCAGGGACTTTAAACAGTTAGAAATAACACACTTAAAGAAAGGCAGGACTGGGTGACAAGATGGCTCAGTAGGTAAGGACCCTTTCTGCCAAGCTTGATGACTCAAGTTCAATCCCTGGTAGATGGTATCTTCACATGGTAGAAGGAAAAAAAAAAAACCTGACTGGAAAGTTTTCCTCTGACCTCCACATACAGACTGCGGCATAAGTTCATGAGCATACACGCACATGTGCACACAGACACAGCCGCAGCCACACACCAAAAAATGTATTTTTAAAAGTAGGGCATGAAGAGGCACAAAAAAGATTTGGGAAAAAAAAGTACTTCAGTACAAATACTGAAGATTAACAGAGAAGATCCAATATATGTCTTTCGCAAAGCAAGCTGAAATAATACAAAACAACACTTCCACCAAAATCCCCAAGGGAAAACAAAAACAACTGGAAATCATGCAAGGACAGACAAACATGTGCCTAGGAATATAGACGCAGGATGACCAACACCAAGGCCAAGCGACATTCTGGAAACACCACTGGCTTCTGTGAAGAAAGGACAGCAAAGTTTTGTCCCTACCTGTTAAAGAATAATTTTCTAGAAAACCAGGGAAGGAGGGATTGCTGGGGTGGGGGGAAGGCAGTATGGGAATGTCCCCTTGCTTCAGAGGGCAGGGATCCTGCTGGGGCATCAGTGGAGCCATCAGTGGGGTAAAAGAGGGACCACTGAGGAGGCAAAAGAGGGAGAGCCAGGCGTAAGCCCACATGCACGTGTGGTCTGCTCACCCATGTAGGGCTTGGTGCCTGCCATGGAGGAAGCCTTCTCTGTTCCTTTCACGACCGTGGCGATGTTGAAATCCGTAATGTGCACATGCCCTGCAGAGAGAAAACGAAGTTAACCAGCACTGTGGATGTCTGCGCTCTCTCCCTGTGTGACTAGAGGCTGTGGTCTGTGGTCTCCACGGTGGGCACAGGAAGAAGACATCGGGACATGCGTTCATCATGAAGTAGTCTCGGTTTCCTACGGTATCTATTCTGCATTCGGGTTTTAGAGCAGGCGTTCATTACTGTGCGCACGCTATTTGTGTGATTATGCTTCTGTTGCAGGCTGAATGACACATGGATGGGTATGAGGTTAAGACACACTGATCTGGAGATGGAAGGATAGTCTGGTGGCACTCAGGATGGCTGCGAGGGGCTGTAGTAGGGGAGGGATGGTAGGAGCTCGGGCTGTGGTTTACCGTGGTCTCTGGGCTCTTAGCTTTGGACTTGAACTAGAGGGAGACAGGGTAGCCTTTCATACAACATGACAGCAAATGAGACTTTAAAAGGCTGGGGCCCCTGTGATTTAGATACTTAAGAAATAAGAGAAGAAAGAGAGAAGGGAAGGGAGCATGAATGTGGGATGCTGGTAAAGGGAAGGGGGAAAGAAGGAGAAAGGAGGATCCTGTGGGTTCAACACTTGTTCTCCAGGGCGTCTGGCATATGATGAAACTAGCTCCAAGGGACTTGAAGGAAAATCTGCATCATTACATTTCTCTCAGTCACCACACCACGTGGAATGGCTCTTTTGCCATTTTGGAATGAGATACTTGGACACAGATAAGGGCACAAGGAGAGCTGGCTTTGTGAACCCGTGAAGGTCACCTGCTGGAGCAGGTGCAGTGAGGCCCAGGAGACTGTGTGCATGAGAGGCATGCCCAAAGCGGTCAGCCACAGAGGACAGAAAAAGCAACGGTGTCCCCAGGCCCCATCCCTGTAGCCGCAGCACACAGCTGCCAGCGCAGAAGTGTGGCAGAGCTGTGGGCTCTATCCCAGGCACTCTAGCTCCCCAGGGGAGCAAAGGCACTCATCATCAGGTCCTCCAGGAGGAGGCTGACTTCACCAGGCAGGTCCTAGCTGAATGACGGCTGTTTGTCCTCCAGCCGAGATCAGGCAACAGCGCTGCTCCTGTTTGCTCATCCCTAACACCAACAGGCCGACAAGTTCACCTTCCAGAGTGCTCTGTGGGCTGTCTGTGTCAGGGAGGCATCAGCCTTTGTCCCACCCCTCCCCCAAGTAGTTCCATACACGGTGTATCCACAGTCACGGAGAGATTCCGGGACTTTCGAATGCAGCTTTTGTTCAGCTTTCTTCCATTTCTCCCGCTCTTTAAAAAAGTTAGTATTTTAAAGTAAAGTCTTAAAGTAATGCCAGCTCATTTGAATAAGTCAATAAACACACGATGTTTGTAAGCTCCCTTCGCATGTGTGTGCATGTGTGATGTGTGTGTGTGGTGTACATGTTTGTGCACATGTGTGTGTGGTGTTGCACACACACAGGCATGTTATGTGTATCTAGAGGCCAGAGGTCACCATTGGGTGTCTCCCTCTATTTTGCTCATCTTACATTTAGACACAGAGTCTCTTGTTGAACCTGGCTAGACCGGCTGGCCAGCTAGTTCCCAGAATCCTCCTGTTTCTGCCTCCCCTGTAATCTGGAATTACAGATGTGTACTGGGGCAACACACGTTTCGCCTGGTCCTGGGGATCGAAATTCACCTTCCTGACTGAGCCCTCCCCACTGCCCCCTGCTTTCCCTTTACGTGCTGTCCTGTTCCTCCATGTTCCTCAGGTCACACTGGACCGGTGGGCTCCTCCACTGTTTTCCCCATGCTTCTGTAAATACATGCTCACACAACTTTGGACTTTAGTTTGCTCTTGTGACAGTGAAGTTATGTTCATGGGTCATCTTGAAAAGGACCTTTAGGTTTGCCATGTTTCACAGGCATTTTTCCGAGTGAGAACACACAGATCTACTTAGGAGGCCCACGATCACTTATCCTTTGCATCAGTCAGTGCCCTGCTGCTAAAACCACACACCCAAAACTGGGTAACTTATAAACCTATAGTTTTGGAGTTTGAAATCCCAAGACTAGACCAAATCTTCTCTGTGTCCGCTAGGAGAAAGGCAGGTGGCTGTGGCTGGAGTCAATCATTCAACACCCCAGCCATCCACCCACTTCCAACCTCTGTCTGTGGGAATCGAGCCTGTAATACATTTGGGATTAACAGAAAGTTAGAAAAGGGGCTTCCAGAAGGTTCAGGGATGAAGTTCTTCCTTTTTCAGAAGTTACCCTTGATGACATTCTCTGTACTTTTCCTGTGTGTCATAGGGAGCCAATTCCCTGAGACTACAGAACCTATTGGACAATGCTAATAGGATGATAAAGCTGAACATAGGGAAAGCAGAACTTCAGGAAAGACACGCAAGTGCCAGAACCAACTCTTTTATACCGCTATACTTCAGCTATGTGAGCTAAACAAGAGAACCCCAAACATATTAAATTACCCTTCACTGCTTTGGGACTGTGGGAGTCAGGTTCTGTGCCACACAGTTCAGGGCTGCTGTTCCAGTTGATGCAGACACTGACTGGTTTGGGCAGGCCATTTGCTCTCCCTAAGGCTCAGATTTCTTTTTTCTTTATTTTTCTTTTTTTTTAATTGTTCATTCAGCTTTTATTTTTTCTTTTTTTAGTTTATTTTTATTTATTACAGTTTATTCACTTTGTATCCCAGCTGTAGCCCCCTCCCTCTTCCCTTCCCAATCCTGCTCTCCCTCATTTTCCTCCCATGCCCCTCCCCAAGTCCACTGATAGTGGAGGTCCTCCTCCCCTTCCATATGACCCTAGCCTATCAAGTCTCATCAGGACTGGCTGCATTGTCTTCTTCTGTGGCCTGGTAAAGCTGCCCCCCCCCGCCTCTCAGGGGGAGCCAGCACTTGAGTTTGTGGAGGTTAGATACAATGAAGCTCTGCTTGGGGTGTTGTGTTAGTTGCTTCTTTGCTCTTGTGATAAAATACCATGACCAGGCAACTTAAGGAAGAGTTTGTTTGGCTTACAGTTTCAGAGGACTAGAGTCCACAACACTGAGCAAGCAGGAAGCAGCATTCATCTCTTTCTGTTTCTTCATTGTGGATTCAATGTGACCAGATGACTCAAAGCTCCTGCCACCATACTTTTCCTGAGGATGTGGCATAGCCCGAAGGACAGGGGACAGGCTGGCAAGTAAGGGTACTGCTGGCAGAAGGAACCACGAAGGACTAGCAAGGAGGCCAGAGGGTGAAAGGGAATGTTAAAACTGTCGGGAACAAAATGGAGTTTCTTCTGCCAAACCAAGGCAGAAGTAGAGTTGAACAGGTCCTCATACTTACTGGCTTGATAAACAAAAGCCCTGGCAACCATTCTGCTGAAACAAGAGTGTCATTAAGGCCCCTCCTACAAAACCAGGACTAACCGCCACCTCACACACAGCTTTGCTTTGTGAAGTCACAACTTTTACCAGGGAGCCTTCCAGAAGGACACTCCCCTAGCCACAGCCAGTGCACAGCTCCCTGCCAGGGAGAAGCCTGGGTGCCACTAAACTTGCTCTAGAACAACTTGCATGCACCCCTCCTCTCAGCGTGTAGATGTTTCATCTTGCCTCCGTCTCCCTGGTTTTATCTACAACCCACCATAGCACATGCACTGCGCTCCAGGTCACAATCACTGGCTCATTTCCTTTCAATTTTTTGCTTATGTTAATGACAAGGAGAAAGGAGGGCAAGGATGGTCTGTGCTGGGCCCTTAGAGCTATAGAAACAGGGCCCCTTATTCTCCCTGAGAAGGCTGGGACCTGATCGGACTGGATTTTAAATGTCACCTCGGGCCCCTGCCATGGAAGGATCATGTGGGCCGGAATGAAAGCACAGAAAGCGGGAAATATTAGGAACGTGCAATTCCACTGCAGTGCAAGCTACAGAGGGCTACACAACTGCTGGCTGAGCAGACCTCACAGCACATGCTCATCCTCACGCCTCCTGGGAGGGGGTTCTTAGTAGCTCTCACATTTTGACTTAAGAAATATTTATTATTATCATCACTGTGCGTGTGTGCTGAGAGCGGGGCATGCATGCAACAGCTAGCATGTAGAGGTTAGAAAACAATTATGTGCAGCTTGTCCCTCCTCCTGCCTTAACATGGGTTTCTGGGATCAAACTCGGGTCACCAGGCATGCATGCAAGCATGTAGCACCTTTCCTGATGAGACATCTTGCTTCCCCTCCATTTTCTTTTTCAAAAGAATGACACTTGGAGTGCTACGGTGCAACAGAACCATGTATACGTGGAACGGAGCTCTGCACTGTTATCTTCCCACCACCACCTCAGAGTCTAGTTAGCTGGACCTGATTTCCTTCTTTCTGGGTCCCGGTTGGAGGACTCTGGACAGCCTAGAGGCAGATAGATGCCAGATAGCTTGTGCACACAGGCTTCCACTTCTGATGTCCCAGTGTGCTAAATGACGAGTCGTGCTAAATGACTGTTGTGCATCCTCTGATCGTTGAGTTTAGATGTGAAAATTGGTGTTGAGCAAGTTTTCCTAGGAGACACTGTGTGGTGAGAGTGCCCAGATGAATGGAGTTTCAGGCTACTTGTTTCCATAATTGAAAACACCCAGAACTCCAAGGAGAACAAGGCATTGTGGGAGACCTAGTAGCATGGCTCTAAGGAGGGTATGATCAATGATCAGTCCTCCCAGCCTTACGTGAACCACCTATATTCTGAAAGTGTGGAGAGCCATCACGCCTTCTAGCTTTTGACATCACTGGAAGGAGCTGTTTGCTCCTCTGCCTGGAGGATTTCCTTTCTCATGAGTTCTGTTACTGATAGAGTTGAGTCCAGCAGAAAACTCACAAATCCAGGCGGTGCTTTCTCCATGATTTGGTCCATTTGCCTATTGTAACAAAATGCCAAGAACTGAGTGTCTTAAGTGTTTGCACTCTTAACATTTCTGGAAGTGCCAGCATGGTTGGGTTACAGGAAAGAGCTCCTGATATGGTTTAAATGGTTGTTCCCCTGTG